GACATAATTTTTTGAGAATAAACCATTTGCTCTGTGTAATAGCAGTTCCTATATGTTACTGAATAGTACTCCATTGTGAGATAAACAACACAGCTTATCCGTTATCTTACTGATGGACATTTGGGTTATTTCCAGTTGGAGACTGTGTCAACTAAATCTGCTAAGAACATGCTAGTGAAAGGTCTTTAGTGGATCTTTCTAGGAGTGAAATTACTAAGTCATAAAGTAGATGTAACTTTAATTTTATAAGAAACTGACAAATAATTTTCTGAAGTGGTTGTACCATTTAACCATCAACCAGGGCCAGCTGCTCTACATCCTCACCATACTCAGTATTATCTTTTTAGTGTCATTATAATTTTAATTTTTTTTTAAAAATAGCACAATCACAAAAGTTACAAGTACAATACAAAGAATATTTTTCTTTCGCCATTTTAGAATAAGTGGCCAACCTGGTGCCCCAGCTCCCCCTAATTCTTTAGTGTGTATTTAGTACAAATAAGGACATCCTCCTACTTAAACATCATAATTAGTAAGTTACTGGCCTGTGATTTTCCTTTTTTGTGTATGATATCTTTGTTTTGGTGTCAGGGTAATTGTCACTTCATAGAATGAGTTTGAAAGTGTTTCTTGCTCTACAATTTTTTGGAATAGTCTCTGAAGTATAGGTGTTAGCTCTTCTCTGAATGTATGGTAGAAGTCAACTGTGAAGCCATCTGGTTCTGAACTTTTGCTTTGGGGACATTTTTAAATTACTGATCCAATTTCAGTACTGGTAATTGGTCTTTTCATATTTTCTATTTCTTCCTGGTTCAGCCTCTCAAGATTGTACCTCTCTAAGGTACAATTGTACCATTGTACATTGTAATTGTACCATTTCTTCTAGGTTGTCCATTTTATTGACATGTAGTTGTTCATAGTAGACTCTTATCCTTTATATTTCTGTGGTGCTGATTGTTCAGTTCAGTTCAGTCACTCAGTCGTGTCTTAACACTTTGCAACCCCATGGACCGCAGCACACCAGGCCTCCCTGTCCATCACCAACTCCCGGCGTCTACCCAAACTCATGTCCATTGGGTCGGTAATGCCATCCAGCCATCTCATCCTCTGTCGTCCCCTTCTCCTTCTTCCCTCAATCTTTCCCAGTGTCAGGGTCTTTTCTAATGAGTCAGGTCTTTGCTTCAGGTGGCCAAAGTATTGGAGTTTCAGCTTCAACATCCATCCTTCCAATGAACACTCAGGACTGATCTCCTTTAGGATGGACTGGTTGGATCTCCTTGCAGTCCAAGGGACTCTCAAGCATCTTCTCCAACACCACAGTTCAAAAGCATCAATTCTTCAGCACTCAATTTTCTTTATAGTCCAACTCTCATCCATACATGACCACTGGAAAAACCATAGCCTTGACTAGATGGACCTTTGTTGGCAAAGTAGAGTCCCTTGGACTGCAAGGAGATCCAACCAGTCCATCCTAAAGGAGATAAGTCCTGGGTATTCATTGGAAGGACTGATGCTGAAGCTGAAACTCCAATACTTTGGCCACCTCATGCAAAGAGTTGACTCATTGGAAAAGACCCTGATGCTGGGAGGGATTGGGGGCAGGAGGAGAAGGGGACGACAGAGGATGAGATGGCTGGATGGCATCACTGACTCAATGGACATGGGTTTGGGTAGACTCCGGGAGTTGGTGATGGACAGGGAGGCCTGGCGTGCTGCGATTCATGGGGTTGCAAAGAGTCGGACACGACTGAGCGACTGAACTGAACTGAACTGAATGCCTCTGCTTCTTAATATGCTGTCTAGGTTGGCCATAGCTTTTCTTCCAAGGAGTAAGTGTTTTTTAATTTCATGGCTGCAGTCACCATCTGCAGTGATTTTGAAGGCCCCCCAAAATAAAGTCAGCCACTGTTTCCACTGTTTCTCCATCTATTTGACGTGTTGATTGTAACTTCTTCTTTTTAACATCCAATTTGATTCATTTGGGCCCTTTTCCATTTTCTGTTGATGAGTCTGGCTGAAGGCTTATCAATTTCATTTATTTATTCTTTAAGTTTAAATTTTTTTTATTTGGAGGAAAACTACTTTACAATGTTATGTTGGTAATTGCACATATATCACCTCCCTCTTGAGCCTCCCTCCCCTCCTGCAGCCCACCCCTCTAAGTCATCAAAGAGGGCAAGGCTGGACTCCCTGTTTCATATAGCAACTTCTCACCAGCTATCTATTTTACACATGGTAGTGTATATATGTCAATGCTACTTTCTCCATTCATCCCTCTCTTTCCTTCTGCCACTATGTCCACAAGTCCATTCTCTATATCTGCGTCTCCATTTCTTTCCTGCAAATAGGATCAATGCCATTTGTCTAGATTCCACATATATGCATTAGTATAATATATTTGTTTTTCTCTTTCTGACTTACTTTAGTCTGTATAGCAGGCTCTAGGTTCATCTACCACACTAGAACTGACTCAAATTTGTTCTTTTTTATGGCTGAGTAATATTCCATTGCATATATGTACATGTTCTTTACCCATTCACGTGTTGATGGACATCTACATTATCCTAGCTATTGTAAATAGTGCTGCTATGAACATTGGGGTACATGTGAATTTTTCAATTATAGTTTTCTCAGGGTATATGCCCATTCATGGATTGCTGATCACATGGTAATTTTGGGCTTCCCTGGTGGCTCAGATGGTAAAGAATCTACGTGCAATCTACAGGAAACCTGGGTTTGATCCCTGGGTCAGGAATACCCTCTAGAAGAAGGAATGGCTACCCACGCCAGTATTCTTGCCTGGAGAATTCCATGGACAGAGGAGCCTGGACGGCTACAGTCCATGGGGTTGGAAAAAGTCAAACATGACTGAACAATTAATGCACACACACATGATAGTTTTATTCCTAGTTATTTATTTTTTCAAAGAACCAGCTTTTAGTTTCATTGATCTTTTTCATTTTTATTTTTTTAGTGTCTATTCCATTTATTTCTGTTCTAATCTTTATGATTTCATTAAATTTAGGTTTTGTTTCTTCTTTCCCTAGTTGCTTTAGGTGTAAGTTTAGGTTGTTTATTTGAGACTTTTCTAATTTCTTTTTTTTTTTCCATTTATTTTTATTAGTTGGAGGCTAATTACTTGACAGTATTGTAGTGGTTTTTGCCATACATTAACATGAATCAGCCATGGATTTACATGTGTTCCCCATCCCGATCCCCCCTCCCACCTCCCTCTCCATCCCATCCCTCTGGGTCTTCCCAGTGCACCAGCCCTGAGCACCCATCTCATGCATCCAACCTGGGCTGGTGATCTGTTTCACCCTTGATAGTATACTTGTTTCAATGCTAGTCTCTCAGAACATCCCACCCTCGCCTTCTCCCACAGAGTCTAAAAGTCTGTTCTGTACATCTGTGTCTCTTTTTCTGTTTTGCATATAGGGTTATCATTACCATTTTTTAAAATTCCATATATATGCGTTAGTATACTGTATTGGTCTTTATCTTTCTGGCTTACTTCACTCTGTATAATGGGCCCCAGTTTCATCCATCTCATTAGAACTGATTCAAATGTATTATTTTTAATGACTGAGTAATATTCCATTGTGTATATGTACCACAGCTTTCTTATCCATTCATCTGCTGATGGGCATCTAGGTTGTTTCCATGTCCTGGCTATTATAAACAGTGCTGCGATGAACATTGGGGTGCACGTGTCTCTTTCAGATCTGGTTTCCTCGGTGTGTATGTCCAGGAGTGGGATTGCTGGGTCATATGGAAGTTCTATTTCCAGTTTTTTAAGGAATCTCCACACTGTTCTCCATAGTGGCTGTACTAGTTTACATTCCCACCAACAGTGTAAGAGGGTTCCCTTTTCTCCACACCCTCTCCAGCATTTATTGCTTGTAGACTTTTGGATAGCAGCCCATTCTGACTGGCGTGTAATGGTACCTCATTGTGGTTTTGATTTGCATTTCTTTGATAATGAGTGATGTTGAACATCTTTTCATGTGTTTGTTAGCCATCTGTATGTCTTCTTTGGAGAAATGTCTGTTTAGATCTTTGGCCCATTTTTTGATTGGGTCATTTATTTTTCTGGAATTGAGCTGCAGGAGTTGCTTGTATATTTTTGAGATTAATCTTTTGTCTGTTTCTTCATTTGCTATTATTTTCTCCCATTCTGAAGGCTGTCTTTTCACCTTGCTTATAGTTTCCTTTGTGTGCAAAAGCTTTTAAGTTTAATTAGGTCCCATTTGTTTATTTTCGCTTTTATTTCCAATATTCTGGGATGTGGGTCATAGAGGATCTTGCTGTGATTTATGTCAGAGAGTGTTTTCCCTATGTTCTCCTCTAGGAGTTTTATAGTTTCTGGTCTTAAATTTAGATCTTTAATCCATTTTGAGTTTATTTTTGTGTATGGTGTTAGAAAGTGTTCTAGTTTCATTGTTTTACAAGTGGTTGACAAGTTTTCCCAGCACCACTTGTTAAAGAGGTTGAGACTTTTCTAATTTCTTAAGGTGAGCTTGTTTTGCTGTTAGCTTCTCTCTTAGAATTGCTATTGCTATATCCCAAAAGTTTTGGATCATTATGTTTTCGTTTTCATGTGTTTCTAGGTATTTTTTAATTTCCTCTTTGATTTCTTCAGTGATCCATTGGTTGTTTAGTACCATATTGTTTGGTCACCATGTGTTTGTAATTTTGGCAGTTTTTTCCTTGTAGCTAGCGTGTGGTTGAAAAGGATGCTTGATATGATTTCAGTTTTCTTAAATGTACTGAAACTTACTTTGTAACCCAACATTTGATCTACCTGGGAGATGTTCTCCGTGCACATGAAAAATGTGTATTCTGCTGCTTTCGGATGGAATGCTCTATAAATATCAATTAAGTCCATTTAGTCTAATGTATCATTTAAGGCCTGTGTTTCCTTATTGATTTTCTGTCTGCATGATCTGTCCATTGTTGTAACTGGGATATTAATGTCTCCTACTCTTATTGTGTTACTATCAATTTTTCTGTTTCTGTCTGTTAACATTTGCCTTACATATTGAGGTGTTTCTATGTTCAGTGCATATGTATTTACAATTGTTATATCTTTTTCTTGGATTGATCTTTTGATCATTATGTAGTGCTCTTCTTTGTTTCTTGTTAACAATCTTTATTTTAAACTCTATTTTGTCTGATGTATTGCTACTCCAGCTTTCTTTTGATTTCCATTTGTGTGGAATACCTTTTTCCATTGTCTTACTTCCAGTCTGTATATGTCTGTAGATCTGAAGTGAGTCTCTTGTAGGCAGCAAATATTTGGCTCTTGTTTTTATATCCATTCAGCCAGTCTGTGTCTTTTGGATGAAGCATTTAATACATTTACATTTAAGGTAATGATCGATACATATGTAATTATTGCCATTTTGTGAATTGTTTCTTGTTTTTGTAGGTCTTTTCCCCCTTCTTTTCTTCTCTTGTGATTTGATGACTATCTTTAGTGTTATATTTGGATTCTTTTTCTTTTTTTGTATGTATATCTATTATATATCTTTATTTTGCAGTTACCATGAAATATTTTTTTAGGGGTCTGTATTTTTATGTGTTTAAGTTGCCAATCTCTTAATTTCAAATGCATTTTGGATACCCTGCAGCTGTACTCTTCTCCCCTATGATTACTGTTTTTGATACTATATTTTACATCTAATTTTTTTTGTGCATCCCTTAGCTGCTTATTGTGGATACAGATGATTTTACTACTTTTGTCTTTTAACCTCCCTACTAGCTTTGTGTGTGGATGATTTCCTACTTTTATTCTATGTTTGTCTTTACCAGTGAGCCTTTCTATTTTGAAATTTTCTTGTTTATAGTTGTGACCTTCTCTTTTTTGTTTCTGTATTTATTGATTGGTTACACTGGGTCTTCGTTACTGCATGAGGGCTTTCTCTAGTTGTGACAAGTGGGGTGCACTTGTCATTCACCGACAAGTCATTGACTGCACCACTGTCATTGTGGTGCACGGGCTTCTCACTGGAGTGGCTTCTCTTGTTGCAGAGCACAGGCTCCAGGTGCAGGGGCTTCAGCAGTTGCAGCACGTGGGCTCAGCAGTTGTAGCTCATGTACTCTAGCGTGAGTGCTTATGGCACATGGGCTTACTTGCTCCATGGCATGTGGAATCCTCCCAGACCAGAGATCAAGCCCATGTCCTCTGCACTGGCAGGCCTGGGACCCCTGACCAAAACAGCAGAAGGTGAAGGAGTTGCATTAAGAAAAACCTGGAGGGGAGATTGACCAAAATGGTAGAGTAGAAGGACCCTAAGTTCACCTCCTCTCATGAGAACACCAAAATCACAACAATTTGCTGAACAACCATCAGTGAAAAAGACTGAAAGCCTACCATAAAGGATCCTCTACAACTAATGACATAAAGACAGAAACAAAACAGATGGGTACGAGAGGCAGACTTGTGATATAATCAAATCCCATACCCCCTGGGAAGGCCACCCACAAGCTGGAGAATAATTATATTACCGAAGTTCTCCCACAGGAGTGAGAGTTCTGAGCCCCGTGTCAGACCTGTCCCCCGATCCAGCGTGGAGGTCTAGAAATGGTCAGAGGAGCCCTCAGAGCATTTGATTGTGAACGCTAGTAAGGCTTGATGCAGAGACAGGCAGTCTACCTGAGAAGGAGTTCAGAGTAATGATTATAAAGATGATCAGAGGGGTCTTCCCTGACAGTCCAGTGGTTAAGACTACACTTCCACTGCAGGGTTCAATCCCTGGTCAGAGAACTAGGTACCGCTTGCCACTGCACCATGTGGTAAGGCCAAAAAAAATTTAAAAACAAACAAAAGAATGGTAAAAAAGAAAAAAAAAAAGGATCAAAGAATTCAGAAGAGTGGATGCACAGAATGAGAAACTAGAGGTTTTTTTTTTTTACCAAAGAATTTGAAAATATTAAGAATAACCAAACGTAATTAAAAAATACAATAGCTGAAATGAAAAATAAACTAGAAGGAATAAATAGACTACATTAGACAGAAGAACGGATCAGTGAGCTGGAAGACAGAGTAGTGGAAATCACTGCCACCAAACAGATAAAAGAAAAAAAGAATGAAACAAAATGAAGAAAGTTTAAGAGAACTTTGGGACAACATCAAGCTAACTGATATTTGCATTGTAGAGGTCCCAGAAGGAGAAGAGAAAGAGAAAGGTCCAGAGAAAATATTTTAAGAGATAATAGCTGAAAACTTTCCTAACCTGGGAAAGGAAACAATTAACCTCGTCCAGGAGCTACATATAGTCCTATACTGGATTAACCCACAGAGGACTATTATTGTATGACACATTATAATCAAAATGACAAAAGTTAAAGAGAGAATATTAAAAGCAACAAGGGAAAAGCAATAAATATCTTACGGTTCAGTTCAGTTCAGTTGCTCAGTCATGTCCAACTTTTTGCGACTCCATGGACTGCAGCACTCCAGGCTTCCCTATCCATCACCAACTCCCGGAGCTTGTTCAAACTCATGTCCATCGAGTGGGTGAGAGTCCATTTGGTGGTAGATCCAACCGTCTCATCCTCTGTTGTCCCCTTCTCCTCCTGTCTTCAGTCTTTCCCAGCATCAGGGTCTTTTCCAATGAGTCAGTTCTTTGCATCAGGTGGCCAAAGTATTGGAGCTTCAGCTTCAACATCAGTCCTTCCAATGAATATTCAGGACTGATTTCCTTTAGGATTGACTGGTTTGATCTCCTTGCTGTCCAGGGACTCCAACATCACAGTTCAAAAGTATCAATTCTTTGGCATTTAGCTTTCTTTATGGCCTAACTCTCACATCTATACATTACTACGGGAAAAACTATAGCATTGATTTTACCGACGTTTGTCAGTAAGGGGAACTCCTTTAAGGCTATCAGCTGATTTTTTAGCAGAAACTGCAGACCATAATGGAGTGACACGATATACTTAAAATGCTCAGTTGCTTCAGTCGTATTCAGACTCTTTGCGACCCCATGGACCATAGACTGCTAGGCTCCTCTGTCCATGGGATTCTCCAGGCAAGAATACTGGAGTGGGTTGCCATTTCCTTCTCCAGGTATACTTAAAGTGATGAAAGTGAAAAAAACCTATCACCAAGAATGTTCATAAAGAGAAGTCGCTCAGTCGTGTCCAACTCTTTGTGACCCCATTGACTGTCACCTACCAGGTTCCTCCATCCATGGGATTTTCCAGGCAAGAGTACTGGAGTGGGTTGCCATGAATGTTCATACAATGTTCTTAAATTCACACTTCAATTTTAGTATTTTTTTCATGATTGAAAAAGAGTTTTCAGTGTAAACTATCATATTTTCTGTAGTAAAGACAGTTGTACTTCAACCTTTTACAATCTGTATTCCTGTGTCTTTTGGCTAGGACATCCAATACAATGTCAAACAGAAGTGGCAATAGTGAAAATAACTTGCCCTTTTCTGACTTTAAGGCAATATTTTTTCAACATTTCACCATAATTGTATCATGTTAGCTCTGGGATTTTCTTAGATGCCCTTTATCAGGTTGAAGAAACTCCCTGCCATGCCAGCTTAAGGTGTTTTAGTTGTGAACTGATGCTCCCTTTTACTGAATGCTTTTCTGAATCTACTGAGAATATGATATGGGTTTTTACCTATACCTTATTATTGTGACCAGTTTCATTGACTGATTTTCTCATGGTAAACTGTCCTTGTCACCATGGAATAGATCTCATTGGCTAAATTTTGTTTAGGAATATGTACCTATGTTCCTGAAAGATGTTGATCTGTGATTTCCTTTTTTGTAATATCCTTGTAAAGTTTTATATCCAGGATATGCTGAATTCATAAATGCATTAGAGAATATTCTCTTATCCTTTATTTACTGAAAGAATTTGTGTAGATTAGTATCTTTTCTTCACTAAATATGTGATAGATTTCATTAGTGAAGTCATCTGTGCTTGGAGTTTACTTTGTGAAAATGTTTGTTATTAGAAAGGTTTGCTGTCAAAAAAAAGAAAGAAAGAAAGGTTTGCTGTCAATTTACTTAATAGATATAAGACTATTCAGATTTTCTATTTCTTCTTGATTGTATTTTGGTAAACTGTGTTTCAAGCAATTTGTCCATTCATCTAAATATTCATAACTGGTGGCATAAAGTTATTCATAATGTTATCTTTTTCTTTTTTTACTTTATTTATTTGTTGGCTGTGCGCACAGGCTTTCCCTGGTTTCGGCGAGCCGGGCCTACTCTTCCTTGCGGAGCGCAGGCTTCTCACTGAAGAGAAGCCCGTGGCTTCTCTTGTTGCAGAGCACGGGCTCTAGGTACGTGGGCTTCAATAGCTGAGGCTCGCAGGCTCAAGAGTGTGGGCTCAATAGCTGTGGCACGCGGGTTTAGTCACTCCGTGGCATGTGGGAATTGTATTGTATTGAACTCTCCAAGTATGATTGGGGATTTGTCTGTCCTTTTCCTCTGCCAGCTGCTGCTTTATGCATTTTATAGCTCTATTCTTAGGTGCATTGTTATTGCTTCCTGTTAACTCTCATCAACTTGGAATTTCTCTTTATTTCAAGTTATAGCTTCTTGGCTTAAATTTTACTTTCTCTGATTATTTGATTACATATGATAATATTAATGTGATCATACTTGCTTTCTTTGATTAGTTGTTTAAATGACATGTTTGTCTTTTCACACAAAACTTTTTTGTGTTTTCATACTTTTGTGCATTTTGGCATGTCTTGTGTAAGCAGCCTGTAATGGGTCTTTTTTTTAAGATTTAGTTTATTTATTCATTCACTTTTGACAGTGCCGGGGCTTCATTGCTACATGCAGACTTTCTCCAGTTGTGGTGAGCAGGGGTCACTCTTGGTTTTGGGGTGGAGGCTTCTCATCGTGGCGGTTTCTCTTGTTGCTGAGTGTGGGCTCTAGGCATGCAGGCTTCAGCAGTTGCAGCTCATGCGTGGGCTTCGCAGTTGCGGCACATGCCCTGTGCCGTGTGGGATCTTCCCAGACCAGGGATCACACCCATGTCCCCCGCGTTGGCAGGTGGATTCTTAACCACTGGACCACCAGGGAAGCCCCAGGTCTTTCCTTTTTTTAATCTTCTGCCAATCTGTTTTTTTATTGGTTGCTTTGTTCTTGACATTTACACATACTCTCATGATGACATAATTAAACTGGGGTTAAGTCTGCCTGCCTGCCTAAGTCTCTTCAGTTGTGTCTGACTCTGTGTGACCCTATGGACTGCAGCCAGGGTTAAGTGTACTATATTTTTTTTTCCCCCATTTTTCCCATCTGTTCTTTTCTCCTTCCCTTCATATCTTCTTTTTGTTAA